ATCAGCCAGGCCTTCAGGAAAAAAAAAAAGTCCCTGATTTCCACCCAATTTCATCCAAAGTTTTGATAGCAATAATTTCTAAATTGTGGATTGATGAAGTGTTATATAAATCGTATGTTCAAGAAATGCACATCTATTTTTCCTGGGAAACTATTCCTTTTACAACACTTTTACTCCAAAAATCACTTTGAAATGTAATTACACAGAAAGCCTAAGGCTGCCAAGAAACCCCTGTAAAAACTGCCTTAACCTAACTGGAAATGAAAAATCTAGAAATATGATTTCATAGAAATATGTTTTCATATGCAACCAAGGGTAAAAGGACAAGCCACATTTAGCTAAGACTTCACTTTGAAATGCATATACATATTAACTAGTACAGAATATTTCATTAGCAGTAGCAATACCATAGTCATGTCTGCAGCATCCCTCATAGTCAGAACCAAAGCTGTTCTCAGCTGTAACAGTTTTACTGCATTTTTTACTGTGTTCTTGATTTACCCTGAAGAGCAGAAGTCTGGCAATTAGCATGGTATTTGGAAGTTCTTTCATGAATAAGTGGATATTTTCTGCTGTCTCTGGTATGGAACATAAAGAATCAGAAATTTCAAACCATCCTCTCTTTTCAATCATGTAAATAATTTATGAATGCTTTCATAAATGCTGAAAAATTAGCATTGGGGTACCCTAATGAATAAACTGACCCATTGTCAGGAAGAAACCCATTGCCTAAACAGGAGAATGTATGCAGTTACATGAAGCAGTGAACTATGATCCAAAACACCTACAAGATCTCTGAGAGCTCCAGGAGTTAAATTTAGCCTCAAACTCAAGGAACTTTTTGTAGAAGCAATTGTAACAATAAGGCTTTAAAATGAAGCCTTAGTGTTTTAAAATATAATCTATGTGTCAGTTGACAGAGGCAGTATAATGTTATTTGGCATTTGGAAATATCATTGGAAATTGGAACAAATGCTGAGGAAAAGCATATGGTAGTACAGTGATATATATACAGTAAAATCAGTAGTTTCTGCAATTTTATATTTTACAGTCCCAACGTTTTCTGGGTTCCTAAAGTTCCATTTATTCCTTTGAGGTAATGAATGTAAGTAAAGCTTTCTTTTTCATGCCATGGTTTCTACTAATGAGGAGAGATGGAAAAGCCAGCATACTAACTGGAAACAAAACAGGGGTTTGAAATGCCACCTATCATAAGATTCTTATTAGCACATAAAGATGTTGCAAGGGATGAATTATTGTTTAAAATTAACAGGAGAAAATTTATGGGCAAAGGAAGCACAGACATTAAAAAAAAATTCCAGTATTGTATTAATTATGTATAATGCTTGATTTTACAAAAAAGCCTTGGAAAAAAGCTTTAAAGGTTGTTCTGGGTTTTTTTTAACTATTTGTTGAAGGCTCAGGGAAACAGGGAGATCTGTTAATGGAAATGGCAACAGTTGTCATTTAACACTGCACATTGCTGCAGAAATGGATTCAAAAGTGTCACTATGGGTCATGGTCTATAATCTAAGAAGTCTTGAGCTGTGGAAGCTGCTAGCACTTGGGTTCCTGGGAATATATGGCACTAATGGCTAACCTTGGTGTGTTGTTTGCATGTGTGTAGTTTAGCATACTTTTAAAAAGATTCACATTTGTAATGATAATAGGAGTATCTCTAAAGCTGAAGAACAATAGTAGTTATCTTGTCAGTATTTTCAACATTGAAGTTAATTCTCATTAAGATCATGAATGACAAAATTGTGAAGATAAATTCACTTCTCTTGCCAATGAGACTCATTCTTTTCAAATTAGTGTGTAAAAAGGAAGCTGGTTAGCAGATCATTGTTCAATTTTGCAAATATTCATACCTTCACTGAAAAACTTCACATTTCTCTTGAAAAATATTCACAGAAGAACACTATTATACCACTGAACTTTGTTATTGGATGTCCCACTTGTATCTTGTCTAATATCTAACTGCAAATTATAACCCTCAGCAATATACCTATTTGGAGAGATCATAGGTTATATGGAAGAAGATGAGAACCAGCATAATTTTAAAAGCACTAAGGGGTAAGAATATGTAGCTATGCTTAACAGTAATTTTATTTAAAAACAGAAGGGAAATTTATCCAAAAAAATGTCAACAGTATCTTCTATTCAACTTGTCTAAAACAGATAATGATCAGGACGTGTCCAGTTGTGAACTAGGAATGGCTTTGAGTGTAAGCAGAAATGAAAAAAAAAAAAAGCAGGACGAACATGGAATTTTATTACTGCAGTTATCTTGCCCCTGTCTGCACAAAAACTCACTAACAGCAATTCAGTTTGCTGCTATGTACAATGGCCCCCTCCACAATCACTAACCAGCTGCAGCAAAGTAAAATATATAGTCAAATAACCTCTTCCCCCAGGAAAACATATATTCAAAGAATTTTAAATCCATTCCTTAATAAAATATAAGCTTTAATAAAATATAAGCTCATAAGATGAAAACCCTTCTCTATTCCCCTTGTGTAACTACATGTAAACATTAGCTACATAAACTGAGTTCCCCTACAGGTCCAATGCCCACCCCAACTTCTCTGGGGTTTAGAGTTCAAGGTGTGTTACAATTGCCTATCCAATATTAAGTGCTTTGCAAGACTGTTAGCAACTAGAGCTGAAATCAGCTTTGCCAGTTACAGACGACTTCACTCCCTTTGTTATGTATGTAATATGCCACAAAGGCTGTTAAATGAGAGCTTAGTTACCACCCAATGACAGAGAACTGCAGTTGTTCTCTCCCAGTTTTGGGGCTATGTTAATTAAAGACATTTTCAATAAGCACTCAGGACCGTCTGCAGTTTCTCACCGTTGCTACATCAGAACCACAACCACAAGCTTTCAAGAAGAGGAAATAGATTTAACATATACATTTCTGCTACTTTTTATCTGCTACTTGTCATATACCTAAACATAATTTGTTAAGTCAGGGAACCAATTTATTGTCATCATTTCATGTTTAGATACAGTCCTGAATACTCTCAGAATAAGTATGAGAAAATGGATAGGGAAGAAAATACTAATTCTCCTGGGAAAACAGACACCAAGACAGGACTACAGAAATAACTGAAAACCATATATTCAATTCCCCTGGAAACTCAGCCCACTTATTTTCATATATAGTACAGTAAATTTTTAAAGTGTTTTATTGCCTGTGTATTCACTGTGGAATTTAGCATAAAACTAGACTTAAATACTGCAGTGCTCCAATTAATTTTGTCTTACTCAAATAACTAATTGTGAGAAAATGATCTGAACTCTTGTTTAAATACATAACTGTTTGAAAATAATCTACTTGTTCTCTTCTACATCTCTTCCCATCTCACTCTTTTTTCATTATTTTTTAATTGAATGTCAGCTTTAACAGTCCCTCATAGCAAACTGGAATAACAATATTCAGATTGTGTTAGTGGTCATGTTATGCTTGACTGATTCAGTGTCCTTCTAAATGTCTTCAGTGGCAGGAAGACACAAACATTGTTCAACATTTCTAAGGATTTGGGGCAGGAAAAGCCATAGAAGTCCTATTTCAATGTAATTTCATTGTGCATGCTTTTATTCCTTACTGTTAAAAAGTTTCATTAAATTTTAAAAATTCCAAATAGCCAGGCAATTCTCTAAAGACCAGGTCCTATGCCCAGTGAAGTGAACTTGGATTTAATTGGATGATGAGCAGGAGGGATTGGAGGAGTGAGATGCATCTCAGTTGGCTTGACTGACCAAAGGGACTGCTTCATATTTAATAAATGCTAGTGAAAGTAACAGAATACACAACATGGTAACTATATTATTTGAACACAACTTTTCTGGATCCTTCTGAAACAAGAATCTTAATTTTTAACAGATAAAGTGCAGTTACTTTAGAGAGAAAAGGGATGAATCAAAATATCATATTAATAGGTTTATAGTTTATCATACTTTATAAAAAAGAAGTACTAATATCTTAATTGAAGATCCTGCTTTTAAGAAGTAACTTTAAGAAACTACCTTATCCAGTTTAAATTAGTTAAAAAATCCTTTAGGAGTCTCTATCACACATTATTCTGAATTATGAGTGTTCCACTTTTCAAGAACTGTTAGGCAGCATTTGAGTTTGTCTGTGGCTTCTTTCAGTTTCTGTCTTAATCCTGAATAAAATGACACCATAAAATGGCCATAACCTAAAATAGTTTTAATTTCACTTGCTTATCTGGGTCATTTTTAACAGTGTTAAAAGGACATGTCAGGCGGGTTCAGAACATGAGGGGAATGGTAAAGTCACCAGAAGACTCCATTTTTTATATTATCTGGCCTCAAAATCATCTCTCTAGGGTGAAAACTTTCTCTGTGTGTGTAGTATACAGCTGTTCAATACAAACAGGTTTTGCTGTTCACCCTTTCAAACAAAAGAGAACAGTCTTCACCTATTGTCCAAGTTCACAACAGTTACATGGCACCAGAGCACACCATGATACACTGCAGTTAAAAGGGAAGAGACAAAGCTACATTTCACAGTCATCCATAATCCTCCCTTAATACTTCAATGTTAACATTTATATAATGAGTATATATACATGTGTGTGTGTTTTACTTAATTTTATAGTGAAATGGAAATTCAGGTTATTGAATTCTTTATAGTATCTGACATTTTTGTTGGTTCACGCCTTTTTCACGTCCAATAAGAAATTTGGGAATCTGTTACTAGCGCTTGGATTTTGGCTTGCTCACAAGGGAAGAGGAGGAGGAAATAAATCAGTAAACAGAAGGTTGTATTAATCTTACAACCACCTTAAACAAGCCTCACTGAGAAGATTACTCACAATGTAATTTTTCTTTAGCTTTGTTTCATTTTGGTTCTGTTTGTTTGTATTATTGTGGGTTTTTTCTAACAGTTTTGAAGGAAGTGACAGGGAACACATGGGACAGAGTATTAGAAATTTGATCTCAAAAGGGGAGAAAGTGTTTTATGTTACCTCCTGGTTAGCAGCAGCTAGTTCTTCTTCCAGTGCAGAGACTCTTTCTAAAGAAACCCTCAGTCGTTCCCTTACCTAGAAGAAAAATCAAAATATGTGCAGTAACATAATTTCTATTAGTCTTTAAAGATTATATAATCTGCCATATGCTCTACTGTATGCCCTGCCACTCCATTTGCAGGCATGTGTGTTGCACCCTTTCATGAGACATACTGTGTAGTAAACATTTAAACCTAACTACAGGAAAACTTAACCCATTAAAATAGGTGTCAAACTTTAAATGCCACACTGCTGTTCCACAGTCTGCCTGTAATTTTATGGAATACACAGCAAAGGAAAATATTTTAAGATCACATTAGGCATAAAAATAAAACTTTCACAAACATCTTTTACAAAGGATAAAGAAAAAAACCATTTTCAGATGTTTTAAGTTCACTCCATGGAAGATAAGTAATCTGTTTATAGTAACTGAATGTAATAAATTCATTGAAAAATAACTTGTAGCATTGCCTTCAGGCCCATATACTAGAGATCTTTCATATCATCATGCATTTGTTTCAGTTTTGCAAAAAGTCATAAACAATGTACACTCTCATAAGCAGGAAATTCCTCTGTGTTTGCACCAGTTTCATAAATAACCTATTCTGTTCCAAGGATGATTATGATCTCAATTTTTATTATTACCAGTATTTTAATTATTGCTCATTATTGATTATTAATAGATAATATTAAATTAATAGCAAATGTGTCTGAAGACACAATCACAGCTGATTTGAGGTCAGCTGGTGTAGCTCACATAACCTAAGCCAGCAATGTAGCTGCAGTCTCCCACTACAACCAAAGGCAAATCTGACCTGAAGTGACCTCCAGTGCTGTGTGTGACTCTCTCTCCTGACTGTTAAGGGACCCTGTGACAATCCTAATCTACAGAACTTCGTTAGGCACCTCACAGTAAATGAGTTTGTAACCTGGCTAACCAGTCAACACCCAAGGTATACTTCTTTACATGTTCCAGCTACCCCGCAGCAATGCTGCTCCAGCTGCTGATGCACAGATGTTTAAGGCCATCAGCAATGTTTGCTGGGCAAGGTAGCATACTCTATTAGACCAAGAGATGTAGCTGGAAAATAAAGCAAAACAAAATCTGTCTTCCATTTACAAAGAAACATGACAGATTTTCATCCTTGACAAATACAGGAGATCCCTAAGAGTTCTATATGTCCTAAACCTTTCATATTTTTTCCAGCGATAGCTCTTAGTCTAATAAATATTACCTTTCCTTACACACTTCATTTTCATTTACTACAGACAGAAATAAGATTTTGCAAACAGATCCCTATATTTCAAGAATGGATTAGACTTAATAGATGAAAAGTAGTCAGCAAGACTAACACAGCACATTCACTTGACTTTAAAACTAAATCTAAAGTTGAAATACATATTCAGGAAATGAACACTTAAAAATAAAACTATTCACCTTTCTAAAAAATGCAAATGTAGTTTTTATGCAGTACTTTGAGGCTTTTGTTCCTCTTTACATAGCTTATTGAAACAACTAGTGAGAGGTGTAGACCTGTCTTCAAGAGGCCTGATTTCAACTTCTCCACAATGGGAGACGGTATATAGGAACTTCTTAACAAAAAAGCCAGACAAGTTAAAAAAAAAAAAACATGGAAAAATTACAATCATATTTCTGGCTTCAATCCCTTTGGCTGTAAGTGCTGCATTGGGACAAAATGATTGAGAGAAAATTCACAAGCAGGCAGTTGTTAAAAGCCAAAAGGAAATACAATAAGTTGGCAACTTTAATTGAATTTTATTATGAAACCTCCATGTATTCAAGCCCAAGTGTTTTATAATGGAGAATGTAGTTTAAAAAAATACATTATAATATGTCTAACACTAACATTCACTTTGAATGGTGCTAGAATTTGCAAACCAGCTAGGCCAGATTAATGAGGATGTCACAGCTCTACAAGGAGCTGGAATCAGAATTATCCTTAAACTTTACATCCTGTGGCACTGTGGAAATGAATCCTAGTGGGTTTTATACAGCCATTTTAAAGCCTGTAAGAACACTGCCTCTAAACAACAGACAACTCTGGAGACACAATTTCTACATGGCACTTCCAGCAAAACTAGGTAGATAATTAGTGTTTCTATTCTGGCTGTCAAGCTATTATATTCAAATACATTTCATTCTTGGCCTATTATCAACAACACTGAACATTACCAGTGTAAGACAGAGCAACAGCTGGAAGTTGTTCCCTTTGTCCTGCCTCACCTTATCTTACCTCGCCTTCCTCCCAGGTACAGTTAATACACTGCTTTTTTGTTATAATGACCTAACCAAAATTGCAGTCTGATGGCTCCTACTTGTTCTCTGAATCGAACAGTTGCTAAAGGAACTGAAAACAACTCTGCCTTGGCACAGAAAGCCTTTTTCCCTTTCATCTGACCAGTGAACAACAAATTCAGATTCACATTTGCCATAGTGACATTGGAAAGGCAACTAATTCTTCATTTTCAAACATAAATAACAGCTGTTAAAATTGAGGGAAATCTTTGATTCTATTAGTAAAAAAATAGAGCTACATCAGCACTCTGATCTGAAGGGGAAATCTGCTCTGGTTTATAACCCAAAAGCTGTAACATTATTTCTCATTTTACATTTCTTTCTCAGTCATACAAAAATGTATTGCAAAGCATTTTTTATTGGATTCCATATTCAAATTTATGTTTACAGCAAAAAAAAAAAAAAAATCCCAAACAGAACTATCCTCATTTCTGAGAGACGCAGGAAAGGTTGCTGTTCTGGGTCACTATCTTGTTAAAGAAAAAGGAACTGGAACAAATGCAAACTATTTTTATCTGACCATTTTTGTTTGGGTTTTTTTTTTCATATGCTGAATGCCAATTAGTGATTGGCATACTGTTTTCTGTTTTCTGGAAGTGACAGTAAGTGAGTAACTATAGCTAATAAGAATTATCTTAGTGAGATCATGTGTATCACTTCAGAAGTTACACTGCTTAAATTTCACATGATTCTCCAACATATTTCTATTTTCTTGGGCACATGATAGAGCTTTATTAAAAAGGTTTCCCAAAGTAAGACTAATCAGATCTCAAGTGATCTAACAGAAATGCTACCATAAACATTTTTAAAGGACAAATACCTGGAGGATAGGAGGCTCTAGGGAGAACTTGCAGCACTTTCCAGTTTCTAAAGGGGCTTACAAGAGAGCTGGAGAAGGACTTTTTACAAAGGTAGGTAATGACAGGACAAGGTGGAAGGGATTTAAACTGACAGAGGACAGATTAAAATTTTATATTCGGAAGACACTTTTTACTATGAAGGTGGTGAGAAACTGGAACAGGTTGCCCAGAGAAGCTGTGGATGCCCCATCCCTGGAAGTGTTCAAGGCCAGTTTGGATGGGGCCTAGGGCAACATGGTCCAGTGAACAATATCCCTAACAAGGCAGAGGGTGCAAACTGGGTGATTTTTAATTATTTCTTTTTAACCAAAACTATCTTGTGATTTTATGATTGTAATGTCACAGACACAGCAGAAAAGAGTTGCTCTCTCCATGTTAGAGGGTGTATCCAACATATGCCCAGATGACTGGGTATTCTTCTGGCTTTTAAATGCAACCATATTATCTTTAAATGTAGCATAGTCAATGTCATGTTAGCACTGCTGTCAGTGCAAAATATCACCCATCTTTCTCTGTCTCCTAGCAACTGCTTCCCACTTTTTTGCTTGCTGTCAAATTCTTTGTTCATTCCCTTCAGACCTGCAGCCCATACAGAGCTTTTTAAAAAACATTTGCACACTGGCATTGAATCACTTTCCCCCATGAACAGTCTATTGAATAAAAGTTCTTCTAGTTACCTGCTAATGAATACAAAGATAGTGACCATGCTGACACAAATAGGCTAACTTTGTTTGCAAGAATATTAGATATACTTTTCTGCCATTAATCTCAAGAGAACCAATGGGCTTTTGCTTCTTAGCTAAGACAGTATCATCTGGTAGCTGCTTTCCACTGTGAAAATCACTTTTCTTACAACACTGACCAAAAACTGGGTTTGGAGAAGTTGCTTCTTTCTTCTTTCTAAATGCATATTTTAAAAGTTGAACCCAAAGTTTAAAGCAAAATAGGAAAAATGTCTGCAGGACAACAAACATGTTCAGATAGATATTAGAAGCCAAATAGAACTACAGAAAGGCACAAGTAACACAATATTTTTTCTACCTTTTGCTTTTCCTGAATTGCATACAAGGACTATGTATTTCCTGACCTACTAAATGTCTATTCTAACCATGAAGTTAACATGAGCTTCTATTTTTCATTCAGCTCTAATGATTTCTAGGAAATATTGTCTTCACTTGCTCTTTTATTAACAATTCCATGCCTATTTGTATATAATATCACAAAATATTTTGTAGTGCTGTCTTACATTAGTTCCACAACTATTCATTGCATGGAAAAAACCCTCAACAAAGGTATGAGCTACTTAGCAGCAGTGAGAGAAGTGTTTGAAATCTGTAGCATTAAGAAGGACAGGGTGAATAATTGAAGGGAGTTATGCATGACTATGAATACTGCTGCAAATTTCACCTGACTTATACAATAACAAAAGTTATAAGAAATGTTGAGTCGAAATTTCATATTGGTCCTAGCCCAAATCACTCATAAGTTCTAGTGTATAAAACTTCACACTTTTTAAACAATTCTTGTTGTCTTTGAGATATAACTTAACCTTACACTTAGGTAAAACAGTCACTGAATTTAACTTCTCACATAATGAAAATTTAAAATTGCAAGCAGAACTGCCCCTGTGTTTTCGTTTTTTATTTATAAAAATGTTAGAATAATTAGATATACAAATATTTTTGAAAATATATATAGCTTCTGTCAAAATAAATTTTTAAATAATAATAACAACAATAATAATAGTAATAATAAAGAATACAGTTAGTGTGCTATCAATTTCATTTGCTGTGACACAATGAGATTTTTCTGAGGGACACATATAATGGTAGAAATTTCTAAAGTAAATTAAATCTGTCATTATCCCCATGCTCTAAAGTAAAAATTCTCACAAAATTCATTAAAAGTGCAAAAACAGTCTGTGTAGACTCTTTTTTTGGCACTACTAAGATCTCTACTAGAAGATAATGGGGTAAGATTAAAAGCCCTACTCTCACCATTCCCTACTCACTACAAGGTACCTGCTGGGTTCAGCCAAACAGGACTGGCTCTCTCTTGTGGGAAGATCATGGCAAGCTTTCATTCTCCAGCCTTGTGGCATGTGGATAACAAGAGGGATGCTGAAGGAGCTGTCAGACTCTGAAAATACTACAGTGACAGGCATGTTTTCTCAGAATAATGCATTCACAGCTGTGATCTCTCTGTGGTGATCTGTCTTTTGGACAAATGGTAAAGGCAGAGTCCAGACTTCATGTAATAGATAGAAAGTCAATAGACTTTGAAATAGGTTAAGATATCACTCCTGATACTTTTTATACTTAAGCATACCTGCCTAGAAACTGATATATTTTATTTTTAACTTTCCAATCTCTTAGTAGGCTTCATTGCATTTTCTTATAGTAATGAGGAGGGTTTTGTAGTTCTTGTACTGTTCATGTAGCAATCCTTTCATGATCAGTCAAGTTTTGTGGCAGAGCTTGTAACAACACATCAAGATGTTTTAGTGTAGGAAGTGAAAACATGAAAGAAAATTTGCATTTAGGAAGAATTTTAAGATTTTCTTCATACTTTTGTAAGTTTAAAGGGCAAAACTTCTCATGAAAATATTTTGTTATGCTTTTCCAAGAATATAGCAACTACATTAATAGTTTTAGTGTCAACAGTTTCTTTTTGTGAAGAAAAAATTAAAGAAAAATGTGCATTATTCATTTGCAAAGGATCATGATATATTTCCTGTGCCCTTTTGACAGTTTTTAGTACTCTTTATCCATTAACCTACTTTGGCTTTGTGAGCATTTTCTGATGGGGCACTGTTATACTTTGCTGTTACATCAGTATCATAAATCATGTTTTTTTTGCCTCAGTTTTACTGTGAGAGTCTGACTGCAGGTCTCCTCTGAGCACAGCAGCAGAGTCTGTGCAAGTGAAGCATTACCCAAATACAGGAAGACAAAACATACATAAGTCAAAGGCAGTAGATTAACTCCGTGCACAAATGCCAAGATTACTTGATTACTTTGTCATGCCTTTCTCAGCTTTGCAAGTATCACAAGTGAGGGAGATTCCTGATGAGTAGAAAACTCACAAATGTTTTGTCCTTCTTCATGAAATACAGGAGCTATCCTGGAATGACCCAGGAAATGTAGGGAAGGTTATAGAGCAAATCATCCAGGAAGCATTTTCAGGCACACAAAGGACAAGATGGTGATTGGGGAGAGCCAGTATGGACTTGCCAAGGCGAAATGATATCTGGCCAACCTTGCTGCCTTGTGTGATGAGAGGACTGGCTCCCTGGATGAGGGGAGAACAGACAATGTTTTTTGTATTTACTGAGGTTTTCTGCAAGATCTTCAATTTATCCCTAGAGAAACTGGTGAGATGTGAATTGGTGAAATAGATTCCATGGTGCATCAGAAACGGACTGGACTGTGAGGTTCAGAGATTTGTGATCAATGAGACAAAGCCTGTGTGGTGTCCCATTGCCACAAAATGCATAACCCATGAGGGAATAAGACAGGCTTTAGGAAAAGAAAGCAGTTTTGCAGAAAAGACCTAGTAGTGAAAAAGGCCAGCACACAGTTTGGCCAGTAGGTTGGACAAAATGATTATTTCCCTCCAGACTTTTGAGGCTGCATTTGGTTTTGGGCTTTCTGGTAGAATACATTGGCAGATTTCAATGAAGGCCCACCAAGCTGGCCATGAGCTGGAGCACACAGCATACAGGGCAGGCTAAGAGAGCTGGGTCTGCTCAAAGTGAAGGGAAGGTTTGTGGGAGATCTAATTGCTGTCTACAACCAGCTAACCAGAAGATGTGGAGGAAATAAAGCCAGATTCTTCTTGCAGATGCAGGAAGGGAAGACCTTGCAGGACAAGAGGGAACCAGTACAACACTCAACAGAAACTCCAGATAGGTATTATGGTAAAAAATTACAGTGAGGGTGGTGAAACACCAGAATAGGTTTTCTGCCTACAAATATTGACAAGTTATTGGACAGGACCCTAAGTAACCTGAAAAAGTTGGCCCTGCTTTGAGCAGGAGGTTGGGCCAGATGTCTCTGAGGAGCTCCAACCCACATTGCTCTACTGATCCCTGAAAACCTTCAATGCAATATTGATATCTTATTTCTGAAGGGTCTGAAACAAATCTAACTTACATAATTTTTCTGTCACCATGCCGAATGTATGACTCACATGCCATAAAAAATTTTTAGCACATTTGGGTGCATGCAGTAATTTTTAATTTCATTATTTTTAAATAAAAATCACCATAATACTGACAATTTGTGAAAGCATTATATTATCAAGTATCTGGGTGATATATGCAACATCTTTGATCCAATCCTTCCAGAGACACAGTAACAAAACCAGGCATTTTTATGTAGGATTTGTCCTTGAAAATAATGTGTGCTGGTTTTATAACAAATTATTTAAAAATAATTTATTAAACTTTACTGGACTTATCTCAGATTGTTTTATAATAACATATAAATAGTATAGTTTATTTTTTTATAGTAAAAATATGATTTATTGCATCAAAATAAAAAAGGTTCCACACAAGGTAAACAGTATGTCGGAAAAAATAATTTTGACCAACCAATTTTAAAACTTGTTTTATAATGGAACAAATCTTCTGTTAATATGATTGCAGATGGTTAACTTTTCTATCCTGAAAATTGTGATTACCACTGGGACAGGAATCAATTAGATACATAAGATACCTACATTTGTAATTCCAAAATTTTTTAACATGCTGAATACTGATTTTAATCTGTAATATTTAAAATAATGTAAGAATAGAATTTTCAACAATCTCGGTCAAATTTTTCAATAATGCAAGTCAAAACATTACATGTAGCTTGAATCTAATTCTGTACAATAGTTTTCAAAATGGGATGTAAAATAAACTGCATACTACCAAAATACTAAAACATTAACGAAAGACAATGTGCAAGAGGTACACAACTGTTGAATAATCAGAATCAATTTCAAGTTTAGTTCTTACACTTTCTCCTACTTATCCAACACAATGTCAAAAAGTATAAAAGCTGAAGAGTTCCCTACCCTAGTTTTATCGATATTTAAAGTGCTGGATAAAAGTTCAAAGCTCTGAGCATAAACTCCATCAATCCTCAAAAGATCTTTTTAATAATACAGGATTTTTAAAGTCTTAATGACATCCAAAAGATTATTACAATGGCTAGAAGTCATTTTATTTCCTTTTCTAGATTTTCTTTATAGATGCTTTCATGATATCTGAGTAGAACATATAACCCAAAAGATATATCTAAAGTTTTTGTTTGGTCTAAGTTCTTTAGATTTATTCAACTTTGAAAACCTGATAGTTAACCTAGTATGACTCATAACCCACACTATCTCATCCTTTCATTACCAATGAGATATATATATATATAGTTATATATCTACAGCTGCCTCATTCATTAAGTAAAGTCAACTTTCTGAGTATATTTCTGAAAGTTGAAGTTAAATTTGTTACTGTGAGACCATTAAACTGGTCCTGTACAATACAACTCATCTGTGCAAGTCAATGGTTTCAGATGCTGCTCTGCACAATGTCGTCCCTGCTTACCCAACCATCTCAAACAGAGAAGCAACTCAACAGCAGCAATGAGCAAATCAGCCAAAAGAGACCCCATAAGGAATGAGGTTCTTTGCTCATGAGCCCCGTTTCTCACGTGGAGTTTTGTGAGCTCCCTGCACGTGGAGTTTTGAGGCACCTACCAATTCAGATACATCACCTTCTGAGCATGCTGTTTCTAGACTTGAATTGGATTTCTGAATTTATGTACACAATACTCAAGGTGATAATTCACAGTTGTACAAAGTTTCATTCATTTTGAATATAGTCTTTCCAGCACAGGAAAGATCCTCTTCATTAGTATGACTTGATGCAGTTATCATTGGTTTTTACCTTGATTCTGCAGGCCCTTCATCACCTCTGATAATGAAGAATGTACTACTTACTTTAGGTTACGCCACTTGAAAAGGGATCACTCTCCTTACATAGCAAAGACTAAAAAGATCTTTGAAATTTAGGAGGTTTTCCTCCTAAAAGTATCTAAGAGCCAAGTTCCCTTATGTAGCTAGGAACATCTGATTCTATGTCTCTATGTGTTTTTAAAATTTGAGATATACATACATTTTCATGGCCATGACTTAAAAGCACATTTTACAGAAAATATATCCCACAGGGTCATCTTTATTTAGTGTAAATAAAAGAAGCATGTCTGGTGGGGTGAGATTTGCTTATTTTGAAAAGTAATTTCTATTGTCTACAAAAGATAGCTGAAGTGACCTCGAGTGCATTACAGCCATTGGCCATACCTTCTTACCATCCATATTTCTCTGGACACCTGTAAACACTCTAAGTACAGGATTTATTCCAAGGAGCAACAAACTATACTGTTGCTGTGCTGCATCATAATGCACAACTAGGCAAGTTAAAGAGTGTATACAGTAAGTTCTTTTACCATACTGTACCTTTTCATCCAAAGCCTTGTGGTGCTCAAACAGAGATTTCAGAGCTTTGAGGACCTCAACTTCACTGGAAACTCCTGAGGGAGACTGTGCTTGCCGTTTCACCACTGTCATCCTCAGGGATCTTTCGTGTCTTGAGACAAGGCACTCCAAATGCTCCAGTAACAGCTGTGGGATTTGAAATAAAAAGTTACTAATTTCTGGGCCCCTAAATGCCACAGAAACTCTAACTACAAAGTGCATGATACCAAACAGCAGTCTTCCTGGCAACTTCATTGTAGGAGAGATTGCTGGAACTATTAGCAATATTTCATGTTTCTAAAGTAGATGGAATAGGTGGAAAAATAGAATACCCACTCATGATTTCACCTAAAACTCTGCTATGAAAAGCAAGAACAACAAATCATTAAGCATAGGGTCCCTATTTTACCAAATTAATTAGATATTTACATATCATTTGTGATAGTAATTGATGATTATTGACAGCCAAATAAGCAAAAACAGTCTAAAGAATCATGCAAAAATATTAAGTAAATTTACAATTAATTCAGCCTAACTGTAATATATTTTCAATTTATCTTGAAAGGAGCTTCACAAGATATGTAGTAGTGAACAGTATATTCTACTAGATTTTTAAACAATTCATTAGAACTGTCACAGCTAATGGTGCTTGTCACTAGCACATCCTTTAAAATATTGTCTCTGTTGTATTGAAAAATCAACAATAAAAATCAGAGAAGTCCATAAAAATCTGTGAAATAGACAATAAATAACATTTTGTAAACGCATTTTATATTTAGTTTCCATTGTTATTCTGAGGTTAAAGGAAAAATTCAAATATGTTGATATTGTATAGAAAATTCCTTATTTGTCTATTTTCATAGGGCTACCATTGCCGTTTTTAGTACCTGAACATTAAAGAGACTTGGTTAGCTGTAAGGTTAAATCAGGGTAGCTAAATTCATGAATCAGAATGCATGTTAAATGCATTGTAATTACAATAAACAATTATATCCAACTCATTGAACTGGAAATCTGAAAGTTACATGGACAATTGTTTAATATTTCTCCTTTGATGTGGGTCTTAATATAGATACTATTAGTAAATACATTTATTTATCTGTAAACCATAGTTATTCTCAGTTACATAATGTTTTTACTCTTACAGGAATTTCTAGACATAGTAGTATGCTGATAATAAGTCAGATTAAGAATGATTATGGTTTGGTGTCATCTTTGTTTAAAACATGGTTCTCGTGTCTGGTTATTATGCTACAATATATTCTTCACAAAAAGTAGTGAATGAGTATGTGAACAACGTTAATACTATGAGAGTTATAATGACTCCCTGCAATTCAAGAAAGGAGCATAATTTCTGAATCCAACTCATGCCCTGTATTTATCAAATGCAAATGAACAAGAAATTCAGAAACTTTCTCATCCCTGAAGGGCTAACAGCAGATATAGGTGGATTTTTAATTATTTGAGGAAGTCCAAAGTAGCACACAAATTTGAGGAGACCTCTTAATGATAGAGCAATCAAGAATTCAGTGTGGGGCTGTGGGAAGTTTGCAAATTAAAAGAGATCAGGAAATTTTCCAAATATTTACAGAATATTTCTGCTCATAGTAGTACTTAAACAATTAACTGCTATCTATAGATAGAACTGAATTACTGAATTTTGGTCTAAATTCTTGTATTGTCATGGCTTTTCTAGGCCATCTAGTTTATCTTGGGGGAAAGCTGGAGGAAAGTAAGTCAATAGCTGATTTCTATTTCTTCAGCCTACTCTCTACCCTGTCTCTTGAAAGAGTCTGTGAAGGAGCAATATTTCCTTCTCTGTGCAGCCTAACTCTGACCCACTCCATAGCCCTGGGGTAGCCAGAATCTGACTCTAATCCACTCTGTGCACTTAGATTTCCCCACAGTCATTTCCACCTCCTGGCTGATTCTGTTATAGCCTGGGTCATCCTGATCAGTTCTCTTTATGCAGAAAGCTTCACTGCATCATAGCTACATCTGGAGGAGTCTAAATCCAGCCAAAAGGCTACAGATTTCTGAAGAAATTGGGAAGAAAGGGAAGACATTGATCCACAGTTGACTTTTTAGTATGGCCATTCCTTCCATAGGTCTGTAGTTGTCTAATGCTCAAACTGACATCCACTAAACCAGTTCAGCGTAACAAAACCTTAAAAGCTAAAAAAACCTCTTTTCTGTCCTAACTGAGCAAATTTATCATATATGGTGTCACACTACCCTAAAAGACTTATCTTGCAGACAAATGCTGTGATGATCAGCGATGTCTGAGAGCCTGTATGCAAGACTTAGTTGAAAAGGTTGAAACACTGACAATCCCAACAGGGAATGTGAAGTCAGCATGGACAGAAGACAAGAAACTTGCAAAGCAAAGGGGATCAAAGAGAGTGATGAAGAGACAAAACAAGTCAAACAATGTTTTCAAGTATAAGAATTGAGCAGAGTGGTGGGAACTCAGAATTTCTAATGGGGTGACTGTGGAGGAGTTTGCTGTTTGAGATGAACAGTACAGGACTAGCCTTTTGCAGAGCTACCAATAACATATTTAGGTTACCTTACTGCCATGTCAGAAACATGCATAATACATAATACTAAACCAGTGACAATCACCCATTTAACATACACAACAGCCAAGCTTGTTTTTAGCCGAGAAGTATCATTTCAGACTCGATAAAGACATATTCCAATGTCTGCATACATTTCATAGTTGTTACATAAATCAAGTGCAAAATGCTGTTGCCCATTTTGCTGTATACAGACTGTCACAGCTGTGTCAAAAGTCCCATAGAGAACGAAAGCAGTGCTTCTGAACATTTCATACCTTTTCTTTCTGTTCCTATTTACTCAAGCATTTGCAGTCACTCATTCTTCTGGAAGCTACTTCTGAACAGTGGAATCTTCCTTACCATCAGCTCTAGGAATGCTCAGAAGGCATGCTAACATAGGTTTCTCATTTGTAAAAATTTCTTATTTTTGCTTTTCAACAAAAATAATCTTGATTTCTTCATAAATTCTGTGAGCACTGTTAACTGCAAAACTAGCTGAGCAGAGAATACTATTAACCAGGTCTCTTAGTGAAACATCACTCTCAGTTCTGCTGAAAGGGAAAAAACCTAAGGGGGTAAGACATCTGATAGTGACTGAGAACCTGATAGCAAACACTTGCCCCCTGCTCTGATGAAATGCTGGATTCACAGAATAATAGAATTGTTTAGGCTAGAAAAAACTAAGATCATCAAGTCCAAACATTAACCCAGCACTTCCAAGTCCTCCACTAAACAAAGTACCCAAGTGCCACATCTACACATCTTTTAAATACCTCCAGAGATGGCAACCCTACCATTTCCCTGGAGCAGCAGGGCAGCCTGTTCCAATGCTGGATCCAGTCACCAAGATAATCTTCTTAGTAAAGAAATTTTCCTTAACACCTAACCTAAACTTCCCTTGGTGTAACTTGAGGACATTTCTTTTTGTGCTATCATTTGTTACCTGACAAGGCAGAAGGGCCTGACCCCACCTGACCTACAGCTGTAGAGAGTGATAAGGTCTCCCCCGAGCCTCCTTCTCGCCAGGCTAAACACCCCCAGCTCCCTCACCTGCTCCTTGTAAGCTTTGTGCTTCAGACCCTTCACCAGTTTTGTTGCCCTACTTTGGACATATAACAATACCTGCAGTTTTATTTAACTTTTACCCAATAAAATTATACTAAAAAAGGGGTAGTTATATTAAAAAAGATCTTCCCTGCTTCCCTGGCAAGTGGAAATGTCAACAACGCTGACAGAATAATGATGTGTCTCAGGGCTACAATGATGGGGGAAGGGAATGTAAACATAAAAGATTGACATTGAAGATGATGGTGTGTCCAACCAATGATTAACATCTGAAGGAAATCACAATAACTTGTGGGCATGCTGAGGACTTTCCTCCACATATGTAGTTCAAGAATTAATATTCCGAATACTTGTGAGAACAGCACAAGATATTCTCATTGAAATAACATTGTAACAACAATGGTAATTCATTTAAACTACAAAAGAATTGTTAGAAACAGCTTTAGGGTTTTCAGTAAGTTGCAGCTAAACTCTGGCATTAATAGTGATCATGGGCTGCTGAGCATTTTCTGCTCCCTCACACTGTCAAACTGTTACAGTTGTCAAGCACTCAGAGGGACAGGCAGCTTGCAGAGAAAAGAAGATGAAGATCAAGAGCAGCAGGTAGGACAGAATCACCCACGCATCATTGCCATGCTTCTCCTACTGGAAAGCATAAGCTTGACAAGGAATTATGAAATAATCTGACAAGTGAGTTTTATGCTGGGCAAATTTTAGGATGCTCAAGATGCTGTGATGATAATTTTATCTTATGTAAATAGGATAATTTCTGGAACTCTGGACTTTTTATAAGCATAAAAAAATACAAAAATAATAATTTAAAGACTGCAAAGTGCTCTAGTGCATATTTTTTGAATGAATTTAGCATCTTTAAAGTGTTCATTAGAACTAAATGAACATGAAAGGAAAAAATTTCTAGAATATACCCAGCATCCTGTATTTCTCAAATCACCTATAAAGCAATCATGAAAGTGGTTAATTTCTGTTAAACAGAAATGCATGGTTAGAATCAATGGTACAAACTACATTGGTGTAGATTATCACTTGCTCTGCTCTACTACACCATACCATCATGACTACATGGACACTGATTTATCTATAGAAAATGAAAGAACACTCATTTTAAACACTCATTTTAAGAAATGATGTCTCAATAAGTTGAAATTACAGTGACTCAGTAGAGTTTGCTATTACAGGACCTGGATTTTAATCAATATAAAATATTTTATCTTAACTTTCATTATTTTTGAAACACTTGTTTTTAGAAAAAGTTCATAGCAGGATAACAAATGGAGACATTAAAGAATCAGCAGATGGTAATGGGGAGAAAAGGAGAGTCATGAATAATTAAATACACTGAAGAAAACATAAAAGAATAGACTTTTACTGAAATGAGACAGACTTAGCTTAAGTCATTCCTTAGACAATTCTCTATTGAGGTTCAGCTTAGAATTTATCACCAGTACAGGAAAAACCAAATTTTCTTTCAGTCTATATTTAGAATTCATATTGTTCAGTGAATCTCCATCTCTGGTGTGAGCAGAGAAGACAAGTAAAATAAGCAGACATGGTGTTGAAGACTACCTCTAAAATCAGTCACAAAATCAATGATTTTCTTCAGCATTGTTCCACAGTGATGGAAACCACTTTTCACCTGTGGTCAGGCAGTGTGACCTCCAACAGCTACACTGGTTAATCAACAGTGAAAATTTTTCTGTGAAAAAATAAAGTTGCAGCCCAACTACTGCAGTGTGTCCCATGTCTGTCCTTCTGCACAGAAACCAAAATGCAAGCAACCCAAAACCTTAAGAAATCACACATATGTGAAACCAAGATTTCACCAAAGAAAATGTAATGATTGAATAATGATAAAGTAATAGGAAGAAAAGGGGTTTTATAAGAAGAATTAGTAGAAATATAATAACTATTATGCTACACAGATTACTTAAGAACATATAGATATAAAAAACCATATAGTTATTGAATAACTATATATTACATTTACTATCTGTTGTTACACTACTTTCTGACAGAAATTCTTTTTTTTTAAAGAAGAGACACATGAATCTACAAGATTGTGAACAATGTTGAGCCGATGATATATACTGTTACTCATATTATTGAATTAATGTTTTGCTATTTGAAGAACTTTAGGAGACATTCTTATTTTCACGTGTACAGTTTTAGACTGTAAGAATTCCTCATGTTTAAAAAAGAAATAGAATACTTGAATAATTTTCAGCACCTATGGAACTGGTTTAATTAAAAGGACCTATGAGAAAACAAGCTAAAATAGGTAAAACCACACTATAAAATATATTCTTAGAGTTTCTCAATACTCTATTGAGTTCCTCAATAAGAAGGGAATTTGAATCATAGAATATAGGGTTAAGTCCTGATCTACAGCTATAATGAGACTGCAGTGCATTACTGAAGATGTTTCATAAACTATTCAATAAGGAATAGGGACAATAAAATATGAATAAAATTAGATATAAATCAGTGTTGTTCACTTTAATAAGTATTTCATCTCCTAAGGCATGAAGCAAAAGAGAGTTAATGACACTCTCTGTTAATGCTGTTTCATTTATGTACACAGGTATAATTCTTTTTGTTTCGAAGCTGTTAGAAGTATTTCAGACCAATTTGAGTAAAAAATGTATGCTTTATGTAAAAAGCACATGTATGCGTCTGGCAATTTTTTGTTGTCGTAGGGAAAAATCCATAATGAAATTAATCAATAGCAGTAGCATATCATATTTTTTTCAGCTACCAAACCAACGCCCAAATTTTCTCATAATAGTACTCTGATCTAACAAGGCAATCCCATGCATTTTTTCTACTTTTAAAGAATACAAACTGAGACAAAAAATATTTTCATTTTAATTTAAACAGCCAAAGTAGTGTTATTTTATAATTTCCATTAAATAACATATGAGATCACACTGACTTATCCTCCAGCTTCAGAAAAGAGGCCATCCGTCTACATGCTATATGTGATCATTCTATCTAGAGAATATCCAGATAAATAAGTGTAAGAATTTCAATTGAGGTACACTTGTATCTGTTTTCCAAGTCCCATAGAAAGGTCTTCCAGAGAGAACCTGCCTGGCTTCCCGTCAGCAACGCCACACAATCAGCGCTCCTACACTTTCTACCCTGCCTCGTGTATTGATAAATTGAGTTGCCAGCTTCGTTCTTAACATGAAAATATTTCTACTGTAATATGTCAGAAAAAGTTAATTATCATAGGCAGCAAAAATATACATTCAACAGCAAATGCCTAAGAATGCTGCTAGAAGGACTGAGTAGAAACTTGATTAAATACTGGGGTAAGGTTTAGTTTCTGGTATTTTGGCTGAGATCTGAAGTGTATGTGTCCCAAAGAATGTAATTCCACCATGATCTCTCTCTAATACATGTTACCATCAAGGTCTACTACTACAGCTTGGGAAAGTGATTTCCCACTACTACAGAGTAGGAAATCAGGATGTGAAATCAATTTTGTGTTTTGTTTATGTGATGAGCAAGAACTGTGTGAGGCTGTTGCCAGAAAATAAAGAAACACATAGGTGGGGGTCTAGAGTAAATAAAATACTGCCAGTTAGACAAAATTGAAAATGTAAAGGGGATGTGGAGGGCTGGTGTGCACTCAGGACCTGACAGAATTGTCACTTTCATTCCTTTCTGCTGATATTCAGTTTGAAGCAGGACAAATCAGACAGTATCATTTTGCTGTTACCTCAAGGAGATAAAAGGTTGGATTAAAAAAAACCCCAAAAGCTTCAATTTGTAACTAAGCATCTTCCCATAAAAGCAGCAGCAAGTGCTACTTGGAACAAAGTGGTTGTCATGAGTAGTTCCACTATGCATGAGTGTGTCCTGAGGGGTCAGGTGAACCTCACTAATGCAGCCAAGCTAGGGCTGGCTCAAGTGTGACCACTAGATCAATGTAAAAGATGTATTATCTATATATGAAAGAAGACATTTAACTTTCTCACTGTGAAACTCTATCAGTGGTCCTCCAAATATTATTATTTTATTAGAATCCTTGCTAAACCAACAGAAAAAATATGGAGCAATTTTTTTTCCCCACAAAATATTAATGCTGTTTTGCACTAATAACACCATAAATTTCAGTTTGCTTAAGTGCCTCTTTATAGGCAATGCCTTCCCAATGAGTGCTGCTGGAAATCTCATCACTAGCACATCATTGAGACTGTGTTGGAAACAACAGTTTTGCATCTAAAATACTCATCTTTCCCTACCAAAGGAGTGTCCCTATAGAAGACAGCATGAGTATTACAGCTAGCTCAGGGATATGCTGTAGTATATGGTAGCTTAACGCCTGGCAAGAACATAAATATGAATGACAGGGTAATAACTCATTAATGAAAATGCTAGTGGTCAGGGCAAAGCATGTCTCTGCATTTTTTCTATCTCCTTCCCCATTAATATTTGGACTCTGTCTTGCCCTGGTTTGCTGTAACATCTGCATTCCCTGTATATTTTCACAGCCTAAACATTTTGATCTCTAGCTTCATCCTCATTTTGAAAACACACTGTTGGCATTTACTAATTTTAACTGCAAGGACTTGCAAGGATTATAACACTGTAACTCCCATTTGTTGATATTAGTTCTCCTGGAAAACTTCTTACGGATTTTTCCTTTACATAGCACAAGAAAAATTGGAATTGATGATCTTTAAGCTTCTTGCTCTAGAAAAAAAACTGCCTATGACAGAGATCAGTCTGATTTAGGAGATGACTTGCAGTTGAGTCATCTTTCTTTTCTCTCACAGTTCTCTGACAAGACTATCTTAGGCTACTAGGCTGTTTTGGAATTTTTGCTAGTCTGCACTGCCTATATCAGACCCACAGATTTTGGTGCACTGCAGTTTTAACAAATTAAGCTGGTGTTCAGTGGACTTTGGAGTGAAAGGGATAAAGCATTTTTTTAATTAAATACAAAAATAATATACATGTAGGAGCTACTGATAATTTAAACAGCTACAGAAAGTCTTCAGACTTTTCTTCAGCTGACATGATTTGCCAAACCTGGAAAATGCAGTGCAATTCCTACATGTTTCTCAAAATTAATTAATTAATTAATGGGAGAAAACATAAATCTCACCTATACCTCCTATAAGATTTTCCAAACCATCACCTCTAAGAACTTTGTGCACAGAGGTAGATGGGTCAACTTTGCCTCTTTGTAGGCATCTGTTTCATCTGTCCTCCCTTGAATTTCTGAACTCTATGGCACTCTATGGTGCTACAGATGGGAAGAAGAAAGCAGGGAGAAAGGCCCTCTCTCAGGTCTTTTGGCATATATATTGTTAGATTCTCTTCAAAATGCAAACTAGATGACAAAGAAGAGATATTAGCTGAGCACCCAAAGTATTATTAGCTTATTAAGAATAAGAAAACAGGAAAAGTTACACAGATCACAGAACAAACTATGGATATTAGAAGTCATCCTTGGTGTTCAACCTCTGAGATCTATTTTGCATGTCCACTGCCAGTCTGACTCCCATCTGATCTGGGATTACTCCATCTCTTTTCTCACACCTTTCCACAAACACCATAAAGTCTCCTCTGCTACCCTGTAGACAAATGCTGCCTTTGCCCAGACAATTTTACATGCAATTTATTCATTCTGAAAACAATTCTGTCCATCATTTGAGAATTTTCAGAAGGCGGTGCAGTGTATCATATATTCTTGTTCCCAGACAGAATAGTATTTCTGATTGAAGCAGAACATGATAAATTTCAGGATTGAATCTTGTTCCCCCTCAGTTGACATTTTCTTCAAGGGTCACAAGGCTGCATGTACAATAAACAACAGACTGCCTGTGGTAGGTGTGGCAGCCTTCATCTTATCCTTATTCAGATTAAATCCAAGGCACAAGGCAAAACTGGCTGTTGTAACCTTGCCTTTTGCCTTGCTAAGAGATGAGGATATGTGCAGGCTAGTCAGGCTTGGAAGGTTGCATGAGTCCCCTGCTTTAAAAGACATTTAAACTGAATGATCTTACCATGTTACATACTAAATCTCCTGTAATTGTAACTGTTTGCAATATATCTAGCTAACACACTCATTTCCTTCAGGACTGTAGCATGGTAGATATGTCCTGCAACTTAGAATGTCCTTTACTCATGAAAATGCTGGATTTTTTGTCTTCTTATTCATAGAAATTAAGTTCTAGATTTATATGTAAGTTTAAACACTCATGATATCCAGAAAAGGTCTGCTAGGTACTTACTCTTGTGTTGTTTCTTTCAGCTTTTAGTTCTGAAATCTCTTCCTCTTTTTCAAGCAGTTGTTCCCTGCATGCATTTAATTCTTTAGTCAATGCAGCAAATTCCTGTAGAATAAAATTATATAGGAAGTTACTCAAGATGTAAACACTAGGATAATCAAATCCATGTGCATTCTAGAGTTTGAGGATTTAAATAATATTTAGACATCATCAACACAATCTAAAATAGCATATGTAAGCTTCAGCATCTACTAAAATAATTTCAAGTCTAGACATAGCTAATAAAAGGTAACTACTAATTTAAGTTTCGAAACAAAAGAAGATTCAAAATGATGGCAACATCTCCCACACCTAAGCTATCAGAAGCTATCACACCAGAAGAAAAACAGAACTGGCCAATTTCATCCCAACAGAGACACCACACTTCACCCATAAGGAAGTTCAACTCAACATACCCACTGAGGATCATTCCTGCCACTCCATAGGGCAGCCTTTCCAACATGGCATATGAGAAGAAAGTTAAGGTATTCACTAATCAAAATCTACCTAATATCAGATTAATATAAGTACTATATGAGTTGTGAAAAAAATACTCTTGATATTGAAGTTAACCATTATAATGCATTCGCTGTTATAGTGAAAGGCTGTGAAGACAGAACAATAGTTTTTGGTTGGAATGAATTTTCTATGAATTCACAACATAAAATGAAACTGAATTTTAAGCTGCTCCTGATGTTAAGTTTTATGAATGAAAATATTAGGTATTCTGAAAAACATCTTTCACTTGTCAAAACTACTATTAAAATGTCTTGAATTGCTGTAACTCTTCAACAATATACATAAATTTTTCTCTATACAAAGAGAGAGTAGAGTTGTAGAGTTGTCATTAATTTTAATGGGGAAAAGGTTTTACTCCATATTGTTTATTTTGACAGACATAAGATATACTAAGCTCTAGGGGCAAATTTTATCCTTTATAGTAAAAAGATGCTACATATCTCACAGATACAGTAAGGTAAAGGATGAAAAGCCTTTAAAATTTGTGATCATGTTTTGAGAAAAAAAATGTCTTGAACAGCACTGCTGTTTAACAAAGATGCATACATATTTTTAAATATTAAGTTAATTTTTATTTTACCAGAACAGCCCACCAGCCCACAAGGAAGCAGTTAAACTGCACTCCAAGAGAAAGCAGTTAAAAAAAACCAAACAAACATGTCCAGGTGGTTTATCTTCTGAGCCAGTAGGATGAAGCTGAGACTAAATCTACTTATTTAAGACAAAAGCTAGTGATGATATCAAAAGGGCTTAGTTTGCTGCTTCTCCTCAAGCTACAGAAAGCAGCTTTTATCTGAAATAAATAGGTTTTTGACAGAACTTTCATGGGTATTCCTAGTCTCATTCTGTTACAGTCAAGATTTTAAATAGTTAACAGGATATGGTAATATATGTTAAAAGTTATTCAAATAAATTTCAAGTTCTAGTCTGAAAACATGTAACTAAGAGTGCTTTTTTTCCCTATTTTTCAGCAGCCAGAACTGCAAGCACAGTAGACCTCCATGCAAATTGCATGATGAGAAGGAGAATGTTGTTCTGATACCCTCAATGGATTTTGTTTTAGACACTGGCTATAGATTACATGAACTATATAATGATGTTTTGTGTCCTACCTTCTAATCAGTATTTGCTTTTTACATCCTAGTGGTCAGGTACATTTAAGGTTACACAGTACATTTTGATGTCAAAACCGTTAGCTTAGCTTTAAAAATGAGATTTATATTGTAACACTCTTCCCTTCCTTTTCAAAAGTATCATTAAAACTTCTGCCTGTAGGTCTTGAACCAGGATTCAGAAACTACCAGTCCAGCAGTGTTATTCTGTACAGATTTTTTAGAAAATCTCCTGTACTTAAGGTTGCAAGTAATGAACTGAACAAAAAAAAAATCATAGTTAATAAAAAGCTAATGATCTCAACTCACATTGAATGAGAATTCTGAAGCACAAAACCACACACACAAACTCTTCTCTACAGCCCTACAGGGTGGAGCTCTTGTTGCTAATTTACATGGATTAGTGTCTATAATACTTTCAGAGTCTCACAGAATAAACTTTCAGTGTAATCTATAGAGTACGTTGTTGTGTGTATGTTTTCTCATTTCTTGGTATTGTTTCAGCTGGAATTAAAATAGACACTTTGGCATATGCTTGGGCATCCGGATGGGTGACAGGTGGTGGAAAGGATAACAAATGTCATCTGTGACTTACAGTTTGAGTTCTGAACTACAGTAAGGCAAACCAGTCTGGTAACATGCATTTGCTGCTTTCTTGTGAGTAAAAAAAAACCATGTTTATCAAATTGCACATCTTTGTTGTGCCAAGGTGAGCCTGTTTCCAGTACAATCTCTAATGCTTTGGTTAATATAATCTCAAATAAGAAAGGAATGAAATTCCTACTAGTTTGCTGAGCAGCATGGAGTTTATTCTTAGGGTAATTTTGTCCGGTCATCAGGGTAAGTTTTCCTTGCTTTTAATCAAATCATTACTCAAAATTCTGCTCCCAGAGAGTCTCATACCTAATATAATGTGGTTTCAGCCTCCAAATACCTTCAGTTGATATTCATAACATCTATTAGCATTTACTATAGCTGGGCTACCTGTGTCCACTGTTTTAGACTTTGCTACTTGAATGGTCAACCTTGTCCTTTCAAGCCTATAATTATTCAGTTGTTGCTGCTGCTCTCTGAAATTTCTCTGTGCTTTTGACATACCTGCAGTGCAAGCGCTTACAACAAGCAGTCACCTATTTATGCGTCTGGAACTCAAGTGGCCAACTTCATCTGAAATACTAGAGACTGTTCATTCATCAAGAGCTTGGAATTCTCTGAGTTGAATGATGGCAGAAAGAGGCCTTATTCCTTCTGTTTATATCATAAGCCTTTTACAGGGAAAGTCTCAAAGTAAATGGAGATTTCCCCAGAGCTTTACAAGTTATTATTTCTCTCACATCTGTTTTCATAAATTAATAACTAGGATAACACCTCACAACTTTCAAATAATACTTCCAAAACGATATGTAAAACTTATTTTTAAAATAACCTATTTATCCAAGATATCCCAACAGGCAATGCTCCAGGAAACATTTTTTCCCCCCAGAGGTTCTATGCCAAGCAAAGCATATTTTTGTTTTAACATAACACCCTGTTATGTAATAAATGACATGTGATGATAATGACCTCTGCTCATGCAATTCCCTCATATAAATATACAGGGATCAAGGGAATACTGTCATCTGGAATTACTGTTTGCAGCAGAAATCTTGCATGGTCAGTGACCACGACAGTCAGTCATACTTTGGGAGCCCTGAAGGTAATATCTGTTGCATAACTAATAGGAGTTGACAGGCACAACTGCACTCTTAAAGCTCATATAGAAGCTGTATGGCAGTAAAGCTAATTAAGAACTGAACTGAATTAAAATTCTATGAAAATTATTCAGTTGATAGCACTGGCTTTATAGTGTACCATGACATCAAGATGTTTGCAATTTTCTCAACATAAATAACCTGAGAATGAGCATTGTTTTCCTCATCTGAATAAACATAATCTCAGAGCCTGTCTTAACTGCTGCTTGTCTTTTTTCCTTAACACTTGCCCTATGAAATTAAGCCTTGAAAACCAATTCAACAGAAATCATGTAGCCATGAAAAGGACCACTAAGAGTTACCAATAAGCAAAACTCAAGGACTTCCCTGGTGAAGCAGCTGAAATACAGTTTGAGCAGAGGCTGGAGGGTGCCTGAGAGAGCAGGATACCATCAGGACAGGAAGGCTGGCAGCACTGCCAGATGTGCTGGCAGCAGGACTGGGCAGGGGAGGCATCCTACAGGTCTCTTTCCATTAAATTTCTGCCTCTAGGGGCTGGTTCAAGAAATCCTGCTCTCATTGCTTGTTGTTGCCAGGAAAAGCCTGCAAGGTTTATTTTCTATGACCAAATACACACAAACATACATAACTTGTCTCCAAGTTGAGGGTATGCCACAGAAATTATGAGAACTTGTATCTCTGATGCTTAACTGTTCAGAATATGATCCAGTCCAAATTGAGCTGAAATGAAAACATAGTCTCTCATCATCCCCACAAAAAATACTGAAATAAAATTGAAATTTTGTGACAGTAACTTAAAAAAAACCCCCTAAATTAAAAACACATAAAATTCAGTTTTGGAGACAGTGAGGAGATTCAGCTTAAAATCTCCTCCTCTGGATTTTTCATCATTAAATCACAGCTCATTTCAGGGATGAATGAGTGAACTAATATCTGCACGGAAAAAGAATGGTAGAGGTTTATAATTTCTATTTTACATTCAACACAAGCTATGTCAACCAATTTGCTTTCCTAAATATTTAGATGCAATTCATTGAGCAGAAATCACAATCTACAACAATTACCTCTTTTAACCTTTCATATATTAAGTTTTCATCCAATCTGTTGGGGGGGGGGGGGGGGAGGGAAGATATCTTTTCTTAATATTCTGTCACTGGATATGTTCTTGAAAATTCTCCATGGCTTTTAAATGACCAAGGATTTATTTTGGCAGAACACAGACTTCATACTTGCTGACTCTTATTAACAGAGCAAAATACAAAAAAAAAATCTGAACATAATTCACTATTTATCTTCTTGCTACAGAGAAGTAATAATAAATATTCCTTGATTCTAAAATAGGAATTTCCCTGATAGTGTTCAAGGCCAGGCTGGATGGGGCTTACAGAAACCTGGGCTACAGAAACCTGCCCATGGTAGGGGGGGTGGAACTAAATGATCTTTAAGGTCTCTTCCAATTCAGGTCACTCAATGATTCCATGATTCTATGATTTAAACATGAGGGTTTGGAGTCAGTTGTCTAAAATGCTCATTGTTACATTACTGCTCAAAATGAGAGTTCATTTGCACATAAATTTTAGGTTGGACATGTACCCTGAAATACTGTATTATACCAGGACCTGGGTAAAAAAAATGGAAATCTGTTTAGATCTCAGGACTAAAAGTTTGATCTATTAATACAAAAAAGCAAAACTTTCAAAACTGTAGAATAGTCTCTGAATTA